TCTTACATTTTGAGAACGTTCAGGTGGTTCCACAACTGAGTCATCCTTAGCGATTCTATTAATAGAGTTGAGACCGAAGACATCTGCACCTCCGCAAAGGCCACTGACAACCCAGGCGTCCCAACCTGGTGGTTTTTGGGAAAGCCCCCAAATGCAGCTCTCTCTTTCTTTTACTTTTACCAACGGGGGCGAAGCAAACGTTTCAATAAAGGGAGCCTGGAACGGAAGCTTCCCTTCCTCGTGAAGTTGGCTCCACAGGGAAACTGCTCCGCTCCATCCTCCTCCTCTTCCTCCCTGCCTGCCTGCCTGCCTGCCTGCAAGTAAACAGAAGCTTTCAGAGGAAGGGAAAGTAGCAGCAATCGAAGTCTTGGATCTCTCCTTCCTGGCAGGCCTCGAATGTTGCAGGAATAAAGCCACTAAAGGTCGTTACAGTTAAATACTAAGTGGTTACGTATTTCGTATATTTGGTCAGTGGAGGAGGCTGCCTCACATGCCTCTCTTGCTTCTGATCTGTTATTAAATAAGAACAAGTCGCTTTCTTTCCGTATCTGCCGTGTGGTGTAATCTTGCTGCCTATAGAACGCAGATCTCCTTTGAACACCTATGAAATTGAACCAACTTACCTTAAGGAAACAATAATTTCCAGCAAGTGATCAAAGTCTGCATCCAGACCAGTGGCGTTGTGTTCTGTGTTTCACATGTTTTTGGCCACACGGGGCAGAGAGGCAAGGATGCCAGTCTAGCCAGCTTTAAGTGGCATTTGGTTGCTCCTTTGGTGCCTGAGATTCCAGCAGCCGTTCTCCAAGCCTCCCAGACAGGCCTAACCCGTCCATTAAGTTTAGGCACTTGCTCCGAACCATTTCAATGAATAAATATCTCAGTTCTCAATAAGACACATTCTGATTTCATTAGCACTCCTGAGAATATGCAAACCCCATGAGAACATGTCTTAAATCAGCCAATAAAGCCACAAACTCTTTCATTTTAAGGCACAGTAGAGCATTAAAGAAAAAATTGGGGGAGGGGGGGAGGGGGCTGTGGACCTGGTACTGTCCTGTAACAGACGGGTAAACTCCGATGGCCCTTCGCCCACATCAGGGCAGATGTTCGTTCTTAATACCAACCAGGATACTCAAGATTGTAGGAGTCGCATTTTAAGGGATTAAAATAAGGGGTACAAATCTCAGATTCCTCGTGGTTAAGAGAAGGAGGCTAAATCTGAGGTTTCCTTGGCATCTGTTAAGATACCTGGCACTGCGTGATTCTCTACAAATATGTGTCTCTCCCTGGCCATGACTTGGGAATTTTGACCCAGTCAAATCACCTTCATCCTGCTCTTCTTTATAAAAAGGCAGGCGGAAAATAGACCCGTCTAACCCTTTTAATAATGGGCTTCTCATTCTTAAAATGGAGCAATAGAGACATTGATCTCATGGCCATTATTCCTACCAGCCCCAGTGGGGCATCGGTCTTTAAAAACAAGAACGTCTTTTCAAAAGATTCTCAGTAAGGGATGTTTTCAGAATATGCCATAGGCCACCTGTGAAGGTCTCTCTGTAAGTCATATTGGTCCCCTGTTATTTCTGCACCAGGGTGCTACCCACGATAGCAGCTTAAGTCCTTTTTCATAAGGAAAAGATGGTTACCACCTAGCAGCTGGATTATTCAAAGCATTTTGAGCATCGGGCAGTCAAAAGGACAACTGGTTTTCTTCCTTTAAAAAATGCAATCTTTGCTTAGCTTAATCTCCTGGTAAGACTCATTCTCACATCTCTGCTTACAGTTACCAGGATTGTGCCATGCATCGGATTTAAAGTGACAAATGTGTTTCTGAGTAAAACTGGGTACTCGTTTAACAAGGACGATCTACATCTCTGTAAAGCAGCTGCAATTTTCCCCAGGAATGTGCAGCTGCAATGAAATCCTGGGAAAATATGACAATTGACAATTAAAGAAAGATTGCAAAAACAATGTACAAAGAACAAATGGATCCTACGATGTGCAGCTCCTTTATGCACCCTGGGGAAAATGACAATTAGATTTTAATGGACTTTGGCAACGGGAGATTATTCTTTGGATGCAACTACAATTCCTGCTAATAATCTGCCGAATGTTTGCATATCCAAAGCAAGAAAGAAACTGCAATTTATGCCAACTGTTAAATTTTTGTTGGCTGTTTGAGATAAGAAACATGACCTTATCTATCAAAAGTCAATACATTCCTGTATTTTGGAATAAGTGATATTTTTGTGGTGGTTACATCAATTGAAATCTCAGTCCGTGTCTGGTTTTTTTCTACAGATTACATATATCAAAAATTATTTTTTCTGCACGAAAGGCTGACCTTGGTTTGACAAGGTAAAAAGATAAAGATGCCCTTGAGTCAGGCTTGATTTCTGGTACGTACACACACACACACACACACACACACACACACACACACGGAGACACTCCCCAGTCCAAATAATAACCAAGCCCACACCTGCTTGGTTTGCCAGTCCAGACAAAGTCAGATGCTTGCAAAGAAATGACATTTTCACTCCTGATTTATGTGTTGTTTCTTTTTTATCCACTCTGGATTCAGTTTTTCAAAGTTGCTCTGCATTCGCCCTCCCACGTCTTGGGCTCCCTGCAGAGTGTATCCTTTGGGCTCCCTCAGTCCCAGCCAGAACCTCCCTTCTGAAAGAAGAAGGAGCTTTGCTTGCTTGTCAAAATGCTGTGGAAAGGACGCCCCTCGGCCTCAGCTAGCAATAAGCATTTTCTGACTAAATCCTGACTGAATAAATCGTTTTCCCCAAGGATTTGTCTGCCTGCATAAGACTGAACTGCATTTTATGAACCACGTTTTTCCTAAAATTTAGTAAAATGCATAATGTGAGCTTTTACTACAGTTGTATTTGATGTTCATTATATGTTCATTATATTATTGGCAAATAGTGGGAATGCTGTCCTTTTATGTATATATTACAGAAAGCCAGTCTGGTTAAGGCATCAGGTTAGAAACCAGGAGACGTTGAATTCTAGTCCTGCTTTAGGGGTGAAATCAGCTGGGTCACCTTGGGCCAGTCGCTTGTTTCGCTCAGCCCCAAGGAAGAAGAGGCAGTGGCAAAATCTTGCCAAGAAAACTCAGGGACTTTGTCCAGGCAGGCTCTGAGGATTCCACATGGCTAAATGGAAGTAGAAGAAGAAAAAATAATATTACAGTACAAGGTTTCCTTTTTCCCACATGTCGATATTTATTTCATACAGCTAAATGTCCAGACGAAATAGATTTGACGATGGATGGATGTGGAGGTGTCAGTGAGCTCTCGGCTATTTTCAGAGGGTTAGGGGCGCATTGTGCAGTCATGAAACAGAGCGAAAAAAGATAAATGGTTCTGAAATAAAAGACTTTTTCTGCACATAAATTAGATACACAATGAACGCAATAGTATGTTGTATGCCGAGTAAAAACTGGGGATGGCAAAGTTGGTATTCCGTTAAAAAATGCCTGTACGTTCCAGGTGCCAATATTCCAGGAGGCGGAAATGCCCTTCAGGATCCAAAAAGTATTTCAGACGTATCTTCTTATCAGGAGTAGGTTTTCTGGATCTAGTGATGCAGAAAATGCCGAATGTTTTGCAATGCAGAGATTCCTGGAATCGTGAAACCAATTTGAGCGTCAACTCTAAACTGTTCCTCCTTGCCGGAATAGCTATGAAAGCCTCCTCTGTCTCTGCCTGGTGCCATCCAGCCCGGCAGTTTCCTGGGCAATTAGTCCCCTTGCCAAAATGTTCTGACATTTAACCAGAAATTCCCTTCCCAAACTACATCCATTATTCCTCCCCCCCCCCTGCTCTGGAATAAGAGAGAAGAGGGTTTCTGTGTCCTTGAACTCGGAGATGACCAATTCCATCCACCTTGTTCCCTCCTGGGACTTCACTTCTTCACCCCCTGATTTCTTCCCTGGTGTTATAAGAGGGAAGCAGTGATACAAGAAGAAGGTGGCACAGGATGATGCCAGGTTCATACGTTGAGGTACCCCAAACTAAGTACAATTCTGGTTTTAAAATCAAGAGGCTTTCAATGGTAGTTTTAAAATCAACTTTCAAAAGGTTGTAATTGATCATGGCAGGACAATCTGGCGAATGTTAAATCAGTTGTAAGTAATTGTTTTATTGACATGGATAAAATGAGATTTCGTTGCAATGACGCTTTAGAGATTAGAGTATTTCCCAAATCTTGTTTCCTTCCCCCCCCCCTCCTTTTTCTACCTGTTTATTTCTTTGGTAATAATATTCATTTTTAAAAGATTGTTAATTCCTTTTTTTTGTTCACTCCTCCATTAGGCATTTAAAAAATCCGGCTTTGCTAACATGAGGGCTGGCACAGTGGGAAAGGGATCTGGAAGGATGGGATGGATGGAAAGGGGGAGGGGCCCGCAGCGCCCAGCCGCAGCTTTAAAACTTCTCTCTCTCAAAGCCGAGCCTTTGGGTGACCATCCTCCTCCTCCTCCTCTTGCAACCACAGCTGGCCAGAGAGAGACATAGGAAGACAGAGAGATACAGAGAGAGGGGGAGATAGAAGGCGGGGAGAGAGAGACACACACACAGAGGGAGAGGGGGAGAGAGAGAGACATGGACACAAAGAGATACAGAGAGGGGGAGAGACAGATACACAGAGAGATACAGATACAGAGAGGGGCGGAGAAAGAGACAGACAGAGGGGGGAGAGGGGAAAAGAGAGAGATGTCAAAAGGGTTTTGTGGTTCTGGGTGTTTTTTAACAACGGTTCTCTGCCTTAATGACCAGCCTGGTAGGCGTGGCTAGAGTGTCATGTGACTGGGTGGGAGTGAGTGGTGTCGAGTTGGCCACGCCCACTCGGGTTTTGTGCCCCCCCCCGTGTTCTTTTCCGTGGGAAATGGGTCCAAATGGCTCTTGGGGTGTCTAAGGGTGCAGGGGGCTGCAGAGCCTTCCAAGAGCCCCCCAGTGTTCGTAACGCCCCGTCTGGTTCTGTTTCAGAGCTGTGGGATATGAACCGGACGTCGGTCTTTCATAGTCCGTCTGGATCGCTTGGCCTTCATGTGATGCTAGTGGACGAGTATCAAGATCGGCTCTTTATTGGAGGAAAAAACCTGATCTATTCCCTCAGCTTAGACCGAGTCAGTGAAAATTACAGAGAGGTACAGTACAATTTACCTATCCTACGCAAACCGAGGACCGGAGGAGGCTTTGAAGCGGGAGGAAAGGGGGGGAGGGGGGTGGGTTTCCGAGTGCTCAGAGGCGGCCTGTAAGGAGCCACGCCCTCGAGAGCGTTGGCTGGGTGGGGCCATTCCAAAATACTCATTTCATGGAGGCCCCTTACCCCCTGGCAGGTAGCTTTTCCCCTGAATTCCACTGTAGTCGAAAGAGGGGTGGCTGTTTTATCTTTTGCCTTTGGCATCATCTTGCTTGGCCTCCTCCATGGGCCCATTGTTGTGAGAGACAAGAGGGCCACTCCCTTCTGCAGAGCGGATCCCCACATGCCAAGAGTCAAAGGCCCTTCTGCCCCAAACCAGGTACAGATAGAGGGGGCAGAGGTGGCCTAAGTTCAGCTGCTTCGGAGGCAGCGCTTTGCCCCATGGATTAGCCAACTAATTATTACTAAACTGAAGCTAGTTTACTAATTTGCATTGTGAATTGTTTAAAATTCCCAGTTTTTTCCATTTCCTATTAAAAAGTATGAAAGGCTTTAAAGAAAGATCTTTAACAGGTTTGCAGGAGACGTGGCTTCGAGATCAATGGGCAGCTGCAGCTGTAAACACTCGAATAAATAAATGAGATACAAAATCAATTTGCACACGGAGTTCACTTTGGTGGTGCCACTCAGCAGGACCCCAGTGTAATATTGAAGAAATGGGGAATAGTACAAAATCCTCCAAAATCCCACGTGGCCCGTGGGGCTCAGCCACTCAGTGGCACCTGAAAACAGGGGAGGTCACTGGGCTTCCCAAACTGCCGCCGACCCCTTTGATCTCCGTTGTAGCCACGAAGAGAAAGAGCCCGAGAACAGCAGCCGTTGCAAGCGGCTTCCACCGAGTGGAATTGGAGTGAACTAAATAAGCAGGGGATGCATTAAATATTGTGGGATTAATCATGCTTAGTCTAGTTAATTGAATTAATAACGGTTAACTGATGGGAATGGGATGGGACAGAGCAGACGGAGGGGGAATTAAGTGCATCAGAAATAATCATACCAAACCTATTTCATTAATGGAATGAGAGCAGGAGGAAGGGAGGGAGGGAGGAAGCACAGAGGGGAAACGCGCGCACGAGAACTTGCCTCATTAATGGGTCCTGATAAGGTTCAGTTTGTTTGTTCAATGTGTTTTCTTTAGAACCTGCAGGCCTTTCCCCCTTTTCTGCTCCAATCCTGCCTCTTTTGTGGGGCTTGGGAATCCACACAGACACAGCCTGTGAATTGCCTGCTTCACTATCACCCAGCTCTGTTCTATGGGGCCTCAGATTTCCCTACTGGATCATTTTTAGTTATTTGTATCCCACCTTTATTATTTTATAAGTAATAAATAATATTCAAGACAGTGAACATATCCAACACATCTTCCTCCTATTTTCCACACAACGACAGCTTTGTGAGGTGGGCTGGGCTGAGAGAGAGTGACTGGCCCAGCTGGCTTTCACGGTGAAGGCGGGACTAGAACTCACCACCTCCTAGTGCTTGGCCCAAAGTCCCCAGCTGTTTTTTTCATTCCTAAAGTGGGATTTGAACTCACCATCTCCCACTTTGTAGCCTTCACCACTAGACCAAACTGGCTGTCCTCATAAGATGGAGAGTGTTATATAACATTGTAAGTCCTCACACTTATGAATGACAGCTTGGCAGCAGCCAGGCGCATCTTAGCCAATCAGACGCGCCTGCCAGTTGCCCTACCACATAACTACGGAAGCTATCCGGTCTACTGTTTGTTTCTGTTACTATCGTTCTTGTTACATTAAAACGGTTACAGTTACCTCAGACGCCTCTGATTCTTCTTGTAGCGATCTAACAGAGAGTTGGAAAGGAGTTGGACATCATTTGGCACAAAATCCGCAGCCTCTCTGGTAGAGAACCTGCCTCTCCCCCCCCCCCCCAAGGTCCCCGGTTCCCCTGCTGAACAGCTTTAACCACTAGGCCAGCGTTCCTGATCCTTCTCCTTGGAGCAATGGAGCAATTCAGTTCTGTCCCATCATCTACCTGACCGCTGACCCCGTGTCCACGCAGTCTTTCCTTCCGTTAGCTAAAGAGACCTCTGTCTTCCTGGGCCAAGAATTAAAAGTTCCCTTC